TGCCATGGGATGATGGTTTAGGACCTTGATTTAAAAAAAGAATCTAGGGCTGGCAGATGGCTCAATGGTAGAATGCCTGTCTAGCAAGCATGAAGCCTTGAGTCCAAACCCTAATACTGCCAAATTAAATAAATAAACCTAAAGAATATACAAGAATACCTGAAAAAGCATGGATTAGAGATCACTCACCACAAGATTACTGTTGCTGTCAGTCACAGTAGTGGGAGAACCTCTTCTCAAAATGGGTAGCAACCAAAGCAACAACCCACAACAAATTCAACTGTTGGATTTCAGAAGTTTCATCTATAAATGATGGTATGTCAGGACTTTCAGCCGATATCACAAGATCAACATCATCAACAACCAGGACAACTAAATAAGGATATCACATGATTTTATTACACTATCTCAGTCTCAGCAATCACCCCTAACAGACAACAAGGAGAAAAGGTAAAACCCACAGGTAGGACCAATACCCCTGTTCAGTAGGAAATAGTTTCTAAAAAAGATCTATGGCTCTTCTCCCTTATAAGATTATAGGGTCCACACTCCTTGAGGGAAGAATGATATAGGGTTAGGCAGGAAGTTAGGAAACTTGATGACTAAAAATAATGACTTGAATGTGGATAAAGAATCACATCCTGGACTACTGACATTAATGGAAAGACTTGTGAGATACGGCAGGGTCCTTTTGACTTGCAGCCCTCCTAGACTGTAGAAAATGGCAGCCCCAGTCTGACCATCCAAGTTCAAGAACTCCCTCACCTAACACGTGGGAGGAGTTGATGACACATGCAGTTTTCCAGGACTGACCATGTCTGCAGACTCCAATAAAAGCTTGAGGTCCTGGGATCTGCAGGGCAGCATGCCTTCTTGAGCCTGTCCACTCTCCCATCTGAGAGTGCACTATTGCTTTGCTTTCTCTCTGGGTTGCATTAATAAACCTGCTCCTACTTAACTCCTCTGTTTCTGTCCTTGAATTCTTTCTCCCACAAGACAAGAACTTCCTGGTTCCTGGACCCGGTGACTTGAATCTAGTGACAACAGAGCACTTGCCTAAAATGCCCAAGCCCTGGGTTCAATCCCCAGCACCACTATATACCTTCTAACAAGAATACTAAAGGCAGTTATAAGCTAATTTTGCCAAAATATATCTAAATCTGATTGACTCTGTAATCAGTTTTCATAAAGACAGGGGACTGAAGCACATACTAATTTATACCACAAGTTCAGAAAAGTTTAAACTTTGTTCAACTCTCTATAGAACCAATGACATGGTTCCCGCCCACCCCAGGTCTTGCTATGTAGCTCAGTCTGACATCAAACTCAAGATCCTCTTGCCTCAGCTTCCCAAGTGCTAGCATTACAGGCACAAGCCACCACACCCAATGCACATTATGGCTTTTTTTTTTTTTCTTTTCGATGGTGGTGGTACTGGGGTTTGAACTCAGAGCTGTGTACTTGCTAGGCAGGTGCTCAACTGTTTGAGCCATTCCTCCAGCCCATATGGTTTCTTTTAAAAAATAAAAAATAAAAAGGGGGAAATCCGTGGCTCAAGCCTGTAATCTTAGCTACTAGCTACTCAGGAGGCAGAGATCAGGAGGATCGTGGTTCGAAGCCAGCCTGTGCAAATAGCTCATGAGACCCTATTTCAAAAATACCCATCACAAAAAACAGGCTGGAAGAGTGGCTCAAAGTATAGCTCCTGAGTAAAAAAAAAAAGAGAAAACATGAGAATGGACTTAAGAGATTTCAAAAGAGTAAGAGACTTATTGGCAGAAAACTACAGATTTCATTTAGTTCTAATTCAAATAAATAATTTTTTAAAACCAAACATAAGACAGTAGGGAAAAATAACTTGACTTATTGTTTGTTTTGGTTTTGGTTTTTTTAGTTTCACTCTGTAACCTAGGCTGGCTTGGAAGCCACTATGAAGTCCAGGCTGACCTTAAGTTCAAGATCCTCCTGCCTCAGCTTCCCAAATGCTGAGAATTGCCAGGCTATTATTTTTATTTTTAATTCATTTTTGCCAGGACTGGGGTTTGAACTCAAGGCTTCACATTTGTAAAGCAGCTGCTTAATGGCTTTAGCCACACCTCCAGCCCATTTTATCCTGGTTATTTTTGAAGAGAGTCTCTTGAACTATTTGCCCAGGCTGGCCTTGAACCAATATCCTCCTTATCTCAGTCTCCTGAGTAGCTAATATTATAAGCATGAGTCACGAGCACCTGGCTGTTATCAGCTTTTTGGGAAAAAAAAAAAAAAATATATATATATATATATGTGACAATGATATTGTGATTTTGGCTGGGTGCTGGTGGCTCACACTTGTAATCCTAGATACTCAGGAGACAGAGATCAAGAGGATCAAGGTTTGAGGACAGTCCCAGGCAAATAGTCTGTGAGACCCTTACTTGAAAAAGCCTGTCACAAAAAGGGCTGGTGGAGTGGCTCAAGGTGTAGGCCCTGAGTTCAAGCCCCGTACTGAAAAAAAAAAAAAAGATATTGTGATTTTGTTTTAAAGACGAATCCTTCTCCTTTAGAGATAATACACTGATGCTGAAATATTTACTGATGAAATAACATGTCATAAAAATGCACCAAATAATTGGCAGGGTGGAGGAAGGGAGGCAAGGGCATGAATGAGTTGCTGACATGGGCGTCACTGGCACAGAAGGTACCCGAAAGCAGACACTTTCACCTCCTCTCACATATGAGAAAGCAGGCATTGCTTTCCCCCCTAAGCACCCATCTACCTCATGGTCTCCTTGACCGTCACCCCATGCTTATCACAATCGTCTCCCTTCTACCCATCCCAACCTTTCCTTCTCCTGCTTTGTTTTTTTGAATCTCAGTTGACCTCACCGAGTATTTAACCTAGAAGCGTAAGAATTAACCTGTGTGATGATGCGTTTCCTCTCCAGAGGGCTAACGCTGGATACCATCATTCGGTCAGATTTCCCACGCACTACCTCCCATACTACAGGAATGTTTCGTCCTCTCTTCCTTCATTATCCCTGTCCTAGACCAGTTCTTCATCCCCTCCCGATGCAACCACGCCACAGCCTCCTTCCTACTCGGTCCCCTGCCTCCATACAGCTAACAGTGATCTTCCTAAAAGTAGGCAACTACGGTGATTCTCAAATGTGGATAAAGGGCCAGAACCGAGCGTCAACTGAGGTAGTTACGACGTTACTTAAAATGAGGCATAAATTCCTAATGCTTACAGACCTCACACAACTATAGAAAGCAAATTCGCAAGAAGTTGTAGATGTTAACGAGTGTTTTGCTGAGACTAAAAGCTCCTGGAAAAATAAACACGCCCTAGGCAAAGGCTGCTCGCTCCTGCGTCTGCAGAACGCTGTTACTGACTCGCGTTCTTCTCTCTCCACACTTGTGCGATTCTTTCCCTTGTAAGGTGCACCCCGCCTTCTCTCGACCTTAGCGCTCACGTACCATTCGGTCCGCCTTTGTTCCTTCCTTGCTGGCCCTTGACAACCAAATGACATTTCTTAGCTCCAACTCTCTTAAATGTGTGACAGGACTGAGTTAGAAGGCGGTCATCCGTGCTAGGTGAACTATGCTTATATTTATTTTTCTTCTTAGCTTACCAGAGAAAAAGAAATGTAGCATTTTAAAAAGTCTTAGAGAACTCAGCCTTGCTTCCTCAAGCTCCCTCCCTCAGCCTCGTCTCCCACTCCCGGGGCCATCAGCCACCACTCCCCACTCCCTCCTTTCCGCCGCTAGGTGGCAGGCGACGCCCTGACGCCGGAAACGGCTCTCCCAGGAGTCGACAGCCGGGATCCAGTGACGTCACCCAACCCTGGCGGTGATTGGCTATTTCGCCAATGATCTAGGAGGAGGAGCCAGTGGCAGAACCGGAAACGTCGGGTACGGCGAGTGCAGGGTCTCGAGACTGAGCATGCGCACTCAGGACTCCGAGGCTACTTAGAAAGAGCTGCTGCAGCTCCTCTTCCCACCTGAGGGGGCAGATCGGGTTCCTAGAGATGGGGGGCGGAACCTGCTGAGAGGGGTCACACTGATAAGGGCTGGGCAACCCTGAGGGGAGGAGTCACCTTGAGAGGAGGGGTCACAATGACTGGTGGAGTCACTCTGAGAGGTCTCACTGCGTGGGAGGAGCACGCAGAGGAGGGGTGCAGCCCTGAGGGGTTCTGGTACACACTGGTGGTGGCAGTGTCATCCTAAGGAAAGGTCCCCCTGGAGGGGAGGGGTGTCACAGAGAAAACGGTCTTTGAGGGGGCGGGATCTTGCTGAGGGGTGGGCTCTCGCAGAAGGAGGGCTTCCCTGCAGGTGGAGGCTTCTCTCTTAAGAGAGGGTCATTCGGACAAAGAAGTAAGAGGGACATCAGGCTGGTTGGTCACGGGGCGGAGGCGCTGGAATCTCAACTTTGTTCCGGGGAAGCGGGATGGAATGAGGAGTCAGGGCGGAGCCAGGGATGGACTGGCCAGGGGCTCCCTACAGCCCCGGGGTGTCACACAGCCCGAGGGAGGTAGAAGGTCCAGCGAGTCCAGGGATTTAGGGTGTTGGGGTCGAAAAAACCCGGGAAATGGGTAGTCAGGGCCCGTGCGCGTGCCGGGAAGGTGGGCGGGTTGCTGGGCGGCCTCCTACTGTGGCTGGGCCTGAGGGGTCTGCTTTTCTGCCTTGCTGGTCCATGGAGCCCAGGGATCGGGCGGCACGCTGAGTCCGGCCCTCAACCGACCGTGACCTAAAGAAGGGAGAAAGGAATCCTAGAGCAGCTAAAAGACGCTCGAGCTCCGCGTACTCAACATCAGCCCTAACTCCCCTCAGTTATTCAAGCCCAGCCTGAAGTCATTTGACCCCGGCGCCCCCGGCCCCCTAGCCTAGAGCTCTGCGGCGGGCGGTGGCCGGTGCGTACCTGGGGGGGGCGTGGTCGATGCCCGAGGCCCGGCTTGAAGGAGTTAAGTGGAGGCCCGGCCCAGCCCCGCCCCTGGCAGGCCGCGGAGCCTGAGCCCCAGCGGCGAAGCGGAGCAGCCGCCGCCCGCCCGCCCGCCTCCGCCTGCGGGGAGCCCGCCCGCCGGCGCCCGGGAGCGCCGCCGCCACCGCCCGGCCCAGGCCCAGGCCTTGCGCAGAGCGGAGCGGAGCGGCGTCCACCCGGGCCCAGCTAACCGGCGCGGCGGGGGCGGGCCCACGATCTTCGGCAGGTCTTCCATTCTCTGGGCGGGAGTCCCGGAGCCGCAGATCGGGCTGGGCCCGCGCCCATGGCGAGCGCGGCCTGCCCGGGTCCCGGGGACCCTGCCATGTAAAGCAGGCCCGGGCTGGGGGCCCGGCTATGGCCGGGGAACGGCCCCCACTGCGGGGCCCCGGGCCCGGGCCCGGAGAGGCTCCGGGGGAGGGGCCGCCGGGGCCGGGGGGCGCAGGCGGAGGCCCGGGCCGGGGCCGCCCCTCCTCCTACCGGGCTCTCCGCAGCGCCGTGTCCAGCCTGGCGCGTGTGGACGATTTCCACTGCGCGGAGAAGATCGGGGCCGGCTTCTTCTCTGAGGTCTACAAGGTAGGACCGGCCGAGAGGGCAGAGGGGCGGGACCGAGCCTTCAGCAGGAGGCTCGAACTTAGGGGCTCAGAGTCAAGGGTAAAGACTCGGACTCCCGCCACCCCGGGCACACGCCGGCCCTTGCCGCCCGCAGGTTCGGCACCGACAGTCAGGGCAAGTCATGGTGCTGAAGATGAACAAGCTTCCCAGTAACCGGGGCAACACGCTAAGGGAGGTGCAACTGATGAACCGGCTCAGGCACCCTAACATCTTAAGGTGAGCGGCCCAGCCTCTTGCTGGGAAGCTTGCTGGGGGGCGGGGGGGACACGGAAAGATCCGCGGGAAAAGTGGGAACTGAGGAGGAGCTTGGACTCTTAGAGCCTACCCTCCTATTTTCCCCATCCTCTTCAGGTTCATGGGGGTCTGTGTGCACCAGGGGCAGCTGCACGCTCTTACAGAGGTAAGGATAGGCCAGGAAGGGGGGAACCCACCACCACCACCAAGGGGAAAGGGAGTCAGCCGGCCTAGTGGATCTGCAGAAGAATAAGTAGCAGCACAGAACCTCCTCTAAGGGGAAGCTTCTTGTACTTCCCTTTGGGCAAACCGCATATCAGAGGCCTTAGTTCTGTCTCTGTATCCCTTAGAATGGTGCTGTCCCATAGAACTTTCTGCAGAGATGGAAATGTTCTGTATCTATGCTATCCAGTATGGTAGCCACTAGCTACACGTGGCTAGGCTAGAGCATGGAAATGTTGCCATTGTGACTGAGGGACTGAATGTTTATTTATATTTAAATTTAGTAACTTAAATAGTTGCATATGGTGAGCAGCTCCTGCATTAGAACATGAATGGAGAGCCATGGAGCACATACTCACCTTTCTAACCTTTGTGATCCTCCTGAATGTCCCCTGGCTTATAAGTAGGAGACCTAGAATACAGAATGAAGCCATAACAATCATTCTTTTCCTGCTTCCCCTGCACCATAGTATATGAATGGGGGCACCTTGGAACAGCTGCTCAGCTCCCCAGAACCCCTGTCCTGGACAGTCAGGCTCCGCCTAGCTCTGGACATTGCCCGAGGACTACGTTATCTACATGCTAAAGGTGTATTCCACCGAGACCTCACGTCCAAGGTAGGCTGGCCAGGTGGGTGGAGCACGAAAGAGGGTTTGAGATTGTTAGATTATAAATCAGCCCATGATGTTGGCATATGGATAATAAATATATTAGAATATTGGAGTGGCAAGGTATTGAAGAATATTGGGGGACTGGGGTGAGGGGAAGGCTTTGAAGGGCTGAGTATCACTGTTTTTTGCTATTGGGTGATTTTGCAATATTGGCGTACACTGAAGAACTAGAAGAAAAGATTGGGATTATGCTGGCATGAGAAGGCTTTGTGTTATATATTGGAAGACCAGAGATTAGAAAGGGATGGGTGTGTGAGGATGCCTATGTGTGTGTGTCAGAACTGTTTGGTCCGACGCGAAGACCAAGGCTTCACAGCTGTTGTGGGCGACTTCGGGCTGGCTGAAAAGATTCCTGTGTATAGGTGAGGTGAATGACCTTGTTACCCCCAAGTCTCCTGGAGGTACTCTATCTGAGTGAAGCCCCCAGTGACATTTCCCTTGGGGTGGTGAGGGGGCTTATCTCATTCCCTTTTGCCTGAATGGCAGGAAGGATGCCTGAATGGGATGTTTCTGACCACTCTGTCCCTGTCCCTTCAGGGAAGGGGCAAGGAAGGAGCCATTGGCTGTGGTGGGTTCCCCATATTGGATGGCTCCAGAGGTATTGCGGGGTGAGCTGTACGATGAGAAGGTAAGACATCAATCCTTTAGAGCCTCAAGGCCGCCCAGAGACCCTTGAGATATTCTCACAAGGCCCTTTCCCAACAACAACCCTACCAGATATTCAGGAATCTGGAATGTGGTGCCCCTCACAGTCACTCTTCCAACACATGAAAACTTAGCAGTTCCTACCCTTGACATTATCTCCTTCCCTTAGGCTGACGTGTTTGCCTTCGGGATCGTCCTCTGTGAGCTCATCGCTCGAGTACCTGCAGACCCTGACTACCTACCCCGTACTGAGGTGAGTCTCTAGGTTTGAAACAGGAGACTCCAGAATAGGTAACTCATAACCAAGAATGGCTCTCTGGAGGTTGAGGTCCTCACTGGGAGGCAGGAAGAGAATCCAAGGAAAGCTGACTTGGTGGCCCCTCCTCTGTCCCCACAGGACTTTGGCCTAGATGTGCCTGCTTTCCGAACCCTGGTAGGAGATGACTGCCCGCTACCTTTCCTGCTCCTGGCCATCCATTGCTGCAGTGTAAGAGCCTCACCTTCTTCCTAGCCCCCATCCATGACATTGCTGCCCTGTGGGCCCCAGATGATGGGAGGAAAATTCAGGGACCCTTCAGAACTCTTACTGTAATTTCCCTGTCTCTGTTCATCAGATGGAACCCAGTACCCGTGCCCCCTTCACTGAAATCACCCAGCACCTGGAATGGATCCTGGAGCAGCTACCTGAGCCAGCCCCTCTCACTAAGGCTCCCCTGACACACAATCAGGGTAAGTGAGCATGACCTTGGCCCAATGGAACTCCTTTTGCCTTTCTCCTCCTTAGAACTCAGAATTAGCTGGAGGAGGCTAAGTGAATTTTATTACTTGAGAAGGCTGGGAGTCAGCGTGGAATAGGGTGGGAGGACATCTCAAAGCAGATAGTTTTCTACTGCTAGAGCTTGAGGGAGTGAAGGAAGGAAAGAAGAGGTAAAAGGTGGCTGGAGGTGACATTCCCTCTCCTCTTTCCAAAGAACCTTTGGGGCTCCCTTTTCTAATCCTTGTCCCAACAGCCTCCTGGAGAATAATGAGGCCCTCAATAGTTATGATCCAATGCTGAGAACAGTGATCATAGATTTCTCTGTCTACAGGGTCTGTTCCAAGAGGGGGTCTCTCTGCCACGCTTCCCAGGCCAGATCCCCGGCTCTCCCGAAGCCGGTCAGACCTCTTCCTACCCCCGTCACCAGAATCACCCCCCACCTGGGGGGACAGTCTGACACGAGTCAACCCCTTCTCACTACGAGAAGACCTCAGGGGTGGCAAGATCAAGCTCCTGGACACGCCCTGCAAGCCGGTAACCCCCCTGCCTCTTGTACCACCGTCACCACTGCCCTCCACCCAGTTGCCCTTGGTGACTACTCCGGAGACCCTGGTCCAACCTGGGACACCTGTCCGCCGCTGCCGCTCACTACCCTCATCCCCTGAGCTCCCTCGACGTATGGAGACTGCACTGCCAGGTCCTGGCCCACCCCCCATGGGTACCTCGGCTGAAGAGAAGATGGAGTGTGAGGGCAGCAGCCCAGAGCCAGATCCCCCAGGACCAGCTCCCCAGCTACCCTTGGCTGTGGCCACAGACAACTTTATCAGCACTTGTTCCTCGGCCTCCCAGCCTTGGTCCCCTATATCAGGACCTCCCCTCAACAACAACCCCCCAGCCGTGGTTGTGAATTCTCCCCAAGGCTGGGCTGGGGAGCCCTGGAACCGGGCCCAGCATAGCCTGCCCCGGGCAGCAGCCCTGGAGCGGACAGAACCCTCACCACCCCCTGCAGCTTCGCGGGAGCCTGAGGAGGGGCTGCCCTGTCCCGGCTGCTGCCTTGGCCCCTTCAGCTTTGGCTTCCTGTCCATGTGCCCCCGCCCCACCCCAGCTGTTGCCCGCTACCGCAACCTGAACTGTGAGGCGGGCAGTCTTCTCTGCCACCGAGGGCACCACGCCAAGCCACCCACACCCAGCCTGCAGCTGCCTGGGGCACGCTCTTAGCAGTGAGGCCTGTGATCTCAGGCCTCCAACTTTGGCCTTCAGGACACCCTGTGAGGACAGAGCGCACTTTCTGGACAATGCCAGCCCCAGAAGGGCTTACTGGCTCTTCTCCCCGTATAGGGGAGCCTCAGCATGGACTCGAGGGACAGAGCACTTCCTATCCAACCCCTGGGCTTGCTCTCCCATGGGGATCACTGAACCAGACACAGCATTGCTGACACACGAGACTAACACGTGCAAATTATTTAAAAATATTTCAATAAAACTGCCTGGCTGGCTCCGGGCCGCCCCATCCACTCAGCCCGTGCGCCCTCCTCCCCCACCCATTTCCAGAATGGGAGGTTCTTGAGGAAGGACAAAGTACTTTCTAGAGGCTTCTTCACTCACTTCCCAGGAACAGTCCAGTCTCTGGGACAGGGTTTCAAGCAGGCAGCAGGCCAGCTAGAAGTGTCAGACATAGATCAGCCCTTAGCTGGGTATTCCCAGAGTGAAGGAATACCAGGGGATGATGATCTTAGGACCCTGCAGGGCACAGGTTAGGGGTGAGGGTCACAAGTTCTTGTTGGCAGGAGTGTCTGGAAGAGTAAAGCATCAGTGAGCATGACAACCAACCGCCACTAAACCCCTGTCTCCTCCCCAGCTCCTTGGACAGCCACATTACCAGCCTCCCTTCCATTCTAAGGCTTACCTGCCCCTTTCCCTGCCCGACACACCCTCGCATAAGCAGACCAAGCCACTGAAAGCTGTGGATATGACTGTCAAGCCCACGAACAAGCTTTCCCTCTGCCCCTGAACTCCCACATTGACACACCTCAGCCCCATCCTTCACACTTACCCAGCTCAGTGCAAAGAGCGGTCCCCATCTGGAAACCTGAAAGTTGCCCGCTCACAGATGAAGGGAAGAGTCTCTGAACACTTCTCTGACGTTTTGTATGGCCATGACCAAATTTGTACCTTGGAACATGTTGAGCTTTGAGAATAAGACCTAAAGAGTAGTGAATAGAACAAGGACACACTCTGAATCCCTCCTAGCCCATCCTCTCTGCTGTCATAAAACCTAGCCCAAGTCAACTCACACTGCCTGCATGCCTAAGGCCACATCTGGCCATGATTCAGGACAGATTTCTGGATTCCAACTAGAAAAGACTTTAGGACCAGGGGAGGAAAGTCACCTGAGGTCCTAAAGATCAAAAATCCAGATACAGAACATGAGTTAATGGCCACCCTGTTTCAGGGTCCGTGGGGCTAATCCTCAAAGTCACTCTACTGCCACTGTCTTGCTCACTTCCCTGGGGCAGCTCTAGTGCCCCATGTGGCCTAGACTGAGAAAGTCAACCTGTTTGGGTAGCCTTGTTCAGGGATGGGAAGTTAGAAGGCTGGTGTTCTTCTTCAGCTGTGAAGCCCTAGATAAATGTTCAGCTTCTCCCTCTGAAAGACGACATAGATCCCTACCTAGTTATTTTTTAAAAGTATATGCCAGGAACCTCTATGTATTGGGGATAAAGAGTAAGACTGCCCTAAAGAGTTACTAATCAAATAGAGGGAACACACAATTACAGTAATTTATGGAAGAATTTTGGGAGCAGGACTTAGAGAAGAAATTTAATTACTTCTCTAATAAGGGATTATGGAGTGAAAATATCCAAAAGTTCTCACAAACTTACCCAGAGTATTGTGAACCATCACTACTCCACTGCTGGCCCTTACTAGATCTGGAGGCAATCCAATATGAATCTGAACTAGATCTGGAGTTACTCCAATATGAATCTGAATTACGTGGCAAAAGTTCACGTATGCTGTTGTAGGGAGAACCCTGAGGGAAGATTCAGAGATATGTGGAGAGATGAAAAATATGGAAGAAAATGAGCACCCTAGGAGAAGGCCTGTGAACTTTGGTAAGAGAGCTGTGCCCATCTTTGGAACATAGCAGTCAGTGACTTGTATCTGCATCCTCCAAGTACCATCCTGAAGATGCAGGTTCACCCTTTAGTTCACCTCCCACGCAGGTAAGAATTTCTGCCATCCTTTGGGTAAGAGTCATTCTGTTGACTGTTCTGGTTCCCAGGAACCAGTCTCTACCACTCAGCTCATCAGGTCTGTCACCTCTCTGCCTGAGAGATAACAAGAGTCAAAGAACTGTTAAGCAGCCCAGGGGCTGACCAGCAAGCTGAGACACACATTAAAGGAGCAATGGTTCAAAGTTTCACCTCTCATGCCAACTCTGAGCAGTAGAAGCCACCTACAGCACAGGCCTGAGAAGATGCAGGGGCTGTTTCCAAGCTTAGTGGCAAATATGTGATTATCACATCTGCCATGGAAAAGGAATGCAAGCCATGGCATGTATGCCAGATGTGCACTTCCATTCCTGACCTGATGACATGCCTCCCTTTATCTAACAGTGCCCACTTCGCTCGGTGCATAAGGGTATGCTTACTTGATAAGACTGATAAGTTCCGCTGAATGTGGCCAGGTTGGAAGACAGAGATCTACAATAACTTTGGCTATCCTCCCAAGTTTTCTGAGCATGTGAAATGTAAAAGCATTTATTCTGGTGCCGTAACCATCCCACAGGACAGCAGGTATCTACAAAGCAGAAAGAGTGTGACAGTAATCACCCTTGGGATGAAAGTGACTATTCAACCACCTGGTTGCTAACAATAGGTCTAATCTCAGCACCTTCATAGACTTGATCTTTGCAATCTTTTCTTATGTCGCCTTCACTAGAAATGCCTTACCTATGTATACATAGGAACATTCAACAACATTACTTCTTGACAATCTGGGGTTTATCTATTTTGCAGTGCTGGGAATCGAACCCAAGGCCTTGGACATACCACTGCCCTGGTAGGCAAATGCTCTACCACTGAGCTACATTCCCAGCCATTGTTTTTTTTGAGATGGGATCTCATTGTGTACCTCAGGCTGGTTTGGACTTCTTTCTGTAGTCTAGTCTGTCCTCAAACTCATGATGTTCTGGCCTCTGCCTCCCAAATGCTGGGATTACAGGCCTGAGCTACCATGTTCAGCAAGGAAGGTTTATTTTAGTAGGTCTGGTGTTACTGTTCCCAATTTCCAAAAGATTACAGTCCACCCACATTTTGACTAACCTCACCTAGCCCTCCATAACTAGTCAACAGGCCTCTCATTCATGGGTCTCATTTGTTCCCTAAAGCATTTCCCCATGGCACACTCAAAACTCTGCCACAGTGCTCCGCTGCTGGCCACCCCCTTCTCTATTCTTCCATAAGCAGACAACCTTGGCTCTTGTTTTGCTGAAATTGCGAATATTCTCCATTTGCTCCTCATCACCTAAAAATTTCTTTCACTTCTTTGTTCTTTCCTGATTATCCTTAAGAAATAAACATCCTGGCTGGTGCTGGCCACTTGCACCTGTACTCCTAGCTACTCAGGAGGATTATGGTTCAAAGCCAGCCCCAGGCAAATAGTTCATGAGACCCTATTACAAAAAAAAATCACAAAAAAGGGCTGGTGGAGTGGCTCAAGCAGTAAAAGTGCCAGCCTAGCAAGCATGAGCCCTGAGTTCAAACCCTAGTGCCACCAAAAAACAAACAAAAAAGAAATAAACATCCTTCTTTAGTATTCCACACCCCAACCTGTGCTTCTGATCCCAACCCACCTCTCTCTATTGCTTTGATCTTTCAGTCCTATCTCCAGCACTCAAAAATCATTCCCTGTCCACTGCCTCCCTCTCTTCTGTCACCACCCAGCTACTCCTTGAGTACTAACAACTTAAAAAACAAAGAGAAATTGGTGTAGCCATGGACCAGTGGTTCACGCCTATAATCTAACTACTCAGGAGGCAGAGATCAGGAGGATCAAGGTTCGAAGCCAGCCCTGGAAAACAGTTTGTAAGATCCTATTTCAAAAAACCCTTCACAAAAAAAGGGTTGATGGAGTGGCTCAAGGTGTAGGCCCTAAGTTCAAACCCCAGCACTGAAAAAAAAAAAAAAAGACTAGAGCAAAATGGACAGGATGTGTGACTCAAGTGTGCCTACTTTGTAAGTGTGAAGCCCTGAGTTCAAACCACAGTTCCACAAAAAAGAGTGTAGGGGCCTTGAAACCATGTGAAGAATTTTTTATTTTTAGATTATGAGGAAGAGAGACAGTCAATTAAGGTTTTACATAGAGGAATTTTGCTCACTAGCTATATCCCAAATGGTGTACATTCTACAACATATAATATGTATTTCATAACTGGTTTATATAACTAATTAACTAGAATGACATGATCTAGACTGAGGTGACAAGATCAGATCTGTATTTTCAAAGGATTCCCCTGGATCCAATATGAAGAATGGACTGTGCTTGCTCAGGATGTAGGGTAGTTAAGAAAAACTTTCAAAAAGCTGTTGCAGGGCTGGTGGAGTGGCTCAAGTGGTAGAGCATTTGCCTAGCAAGTGTGAGGCCCTAAGTTCAAATCCCAGTAAAGCCACACACACACACACACACACACACACACAGCTGTTGCAGTTAGCCTTGCAAAAGATGGGAGGGGCAGAAATGCAATTGGATATATAGACTTGGTGATGAAAAATGGAGAGAATTGTTCTCTGATGGAGTAGGGCACTTGTTGAAAGTGAAGGGGATGATAGTGGGGGATGGAGTCATGGAGAACAAGCCCACCAGTGCAGAGCTATCCAGGTGGTGCTTACACTCTGGAGTCTCAATGGCACCAAGCTGATTGATTGCACAACTTGTCAAGTCTTGGTACAGGGCTAAATGGTCAATTGGGATTATCCAGGATTGAGTCTTTACTAGTCCAGTGCACTACAAGGACAATGGAACAAAGGAGCAAGTGGTTGAATATTGGATCCAGGAACCTAAGATGGGTAGGGAGAGAAATGAGAACAGGAAGTCGCTAACTGTGGGAAGGAAAGAACCTGAAGCAAGTTGGAGGCCTCAGTGAAGTGGAAGAATTATGGGAAAAACCTGGAGACTTGGGCAGTTGTGATTGGAATGGAAGTCTACAACTGACCTTTCAGCAGAAGAGCACCATGGGATGCCAAGATGCCAAGATCTACGGTGCAACTAGAAGAACTGGCAGCAGCACTGTCATGGGACTGAGAGTCATAGAGGAAACAAGAGTTATGGTATTTGCTGTATGTAATCTTGCTTTTTTTTTTTTGCAGTACTAGGGTTTGAACTCAGAGCTTCACACTTGCTAGGCAGGCACTCAGTGTTTTGTGTTGGGTATTTTCAAGATAGGGTCTCTTGAACTATTTGCCAGGGCTGGCAAATAGTTCAGAGATCAGAGTCTTGATCTCTGCCTCCCGTGTAGCTAGGATTACAGATGTGAGCCACTGGCACCAGGCTTCATCTTGCTGTCAGAAGTCCAGGGGAATATCCAGATGCCTCCTGAGCCAGATAGAGCTGAATTCTGACAGTAGTCAGTGAACATTCTAGTCCCCTTGGGCCTTGCACCTTGTCTAGAACCTTAGCGTGCTCCAGCACACTTTTTCTCTTCTTTCCCCCATCTCTATCTACAATCTGGGCTCCTGCTTTCAAAATGGATAGATACTCTATCCTAGTTCCTAAACCACACCCCTCACCTCATTGTGAGTTCAGCACATGCCTGAGGACTCTGCTGTCTTGCCCCACCTCCAGACTGTACCTCATGTCAGTCAGCAATTCTTAACATTATGGGAGAATCTCAGATGTAGTAAGAATTACAGCCTTTGTCTTTAGAAAAAATGTGCAAAAAAAACCCAAAAACTAACCTCACATCCAAATTCAAGGGGTGCTTAGATTCTTGCCACTGATGTCAAACAGATGAAATTGGACTGTACCATGCTGCTTTGGACAGTGTGATTTGGATTGCTAGCTTCCACCCTTTCCTCTCCCAAAGGATCTGCCTTAGAGCTGGATGAGTCCCTCTAAATCCAGTGTGCAGCTTGATCCTTCTCCCTGAACAACTCACTGGCCCCTGAGAGCCAGACAGACCCCAGCCACTAGTGTCTCCTTGCTTCAGTCCATCCCGCATAGGCCACTGCTCCTGTCTCCCCTGTCCCAGAGCAGATACCTGGTGGGGAGCACGTGAAGAAGCTCTTCAGTGTTTCCTGCATGCTGTTCAGCCTCTGTTCCAAGGCGCTGTTCTTCTCTATCTCCATTTTCAAGGTCTCCTTAATCTTTTCTCCATCCAACTGGCAAGCCTGTAGCTGCCCCTCAGCAGCCTGGTGAACCCTCTGCTCCTCCTGTAGCGCCTCCTGACTCTGGGCCAGCTCTTTCCTGGACCCCTGCAGATCCTCCTCTTTCTGCCCAAGCTGAGTTATCTTTAGGCGGAGCTGTTGGCGTAGGCTGCTGTTAGTGGCTTCCAGAACCCTGGTCATCTGCTGGAGCTGCTGAGACACCTGCAGATCTGTTTGGCCATAAAGAGAAGCTTGGGCTAGGTGTGGTGGTACATGGCTATAATCCCAGCACTCAAGAGGCTGGGACAGAAAGATAGCAAGTTCTAGGGTTAGCCTGAGCTACATAGTCAGGTGCCACTGGTTCATTCCTTAATCTTAGCTATTTGGAAGGCTGAGATAGGGAGGATCATAGTTTGAGGTCAGTCTAAGGAAATAATTTGGGGTACCCTATTTCCAAAATAACCAGACCAAAATGGACTGGAAGTGTGACTCAAGACATAGAGTGCCTGCTTTGCAAGCATGAAGCCCTGAGTTCAAACTCCAGTTCCAGAGAGAGAGAGAGAGAGAGTCTTAAACACCACTTCCTCTAGATGTGCCCTGAGACTGCACCATCAGCTCTTTTTCTGCTTCTTGCAACTTTTTGCAAAACAGGCTAAAATATAATATCTGGCTGCCTAAAGCTTAAGGAGTTAAGGAAGATTTAGAAAGACAGGGCGCTCTAAAACAGACCTGGCTGGAAACCAGACCAGAAGTTAAGGATATAGGGGTCAGTGTCCATGAGCCCTGCTGAGAAGGGCAGCTTTGCAGGAAGAGAAGGGAAGAAGTTATTTGGGGTGAGTGGAAAATTGGGGCGGCCATACTCACAGCGCACTCCCAGGCAGATGGCAGCCACCCCTAACAGCAGGCAGGTGAGGAGCAGGCCGAGCAGGAGGTGTCGCAAGCAGGCTGTAGGACCTTAGGGGACATGGATTCGAGGCAGTCAGTCCCAGGAAAGGATTTACAGACCGTGAGACTAGAGGATGGCAGACAGAGGGGCTTGTCTGGGAGTTGGTGTTTTGCTGGTAGAGAAGCGAGGTGTTCCAGAATAACTGGTAAGGAGGACTGAGGGGCAATGCCAGGTACAGGAGAACGAAATCTCAGATGGAGCAAGGGAGTCGGGGATGTGGGACAGGGATCATCCGAAGGCAGGAGAGGGGGACTGTGATGGGGACGACATGTCATGGGAATAACCCCTGCCAGGGTGGGGCTGAGAAGGGAAGGCAACGGGTCGCGGGGCATCGGGACGGCCCCCAAGGACCGCACCCCGCCTCCGCGGGGACGGCGCGGGCACGTCGCGTCCCCCACCCCCGCCCCGCGTGCTCGCGCATGGGCGGGGAAGCTGGCGGGCCGCGCGAGGCTGGAAAGGGGACAATACCCACAGGGGAGAATCCTCCTGGCATCCGGCGACGTAACGGAGCTCCAGGACTTAGCTAGCTGCTGCGACTTGACCCCTGTGGAGGGGGAGCGCCCAGGATGAAGACGGGGAGTCCCACCATGTTCTTCTCACTGCACGCCCCCCACCAGCCCAGACCCTGGGCGGCCCTCTACAATGCTCGGGGGACACCCGCATCACTCCCGGAGTTCCTCGGCTCCCCTGGGACCGCTCAGCTCCCTCCTGGGTCTCACCTTAGCTTTACCAAATTGCACCCACACACACACACACCCCGCATCTCCCTCCTGAGTCTCCCTTTATCCTCTTGACTCCCCATTTCCCACTAGAACCCATAGCCAGGACTGTCCTGATCCCTCTCCAGCGCCCACCTTCCCACTGGGATCTAAGTCCAACCTTGCCCTGGATCTTTCTTCTTCCTTTGACTCACATTTATCCTGTTCTCATTCTTCTCGTTCCTAAAAACACCTTCCTCTCTTCCCCTTAAGGACTTGGCCTTCCAAGACTACTGTGGTCGCCCTAGCTCAAGACAGTCCCCACAGAAACATCCCCTGGGGGTTCCATACCTGCATTGTCCCCTAGTCCAGAGGAAGACAAGCCCAAGACTGCACCTGGGACTGGGGGCACTTGTACATTCTCATAGGTGAGTTCCCCATCCTCATAAGCCTCGGGGTCTGGAGAGAAGAGGGACCAAAGCGGGAGTCAGGAATGGGGTCTGGGGGTGCAGGTGGGTGATGCGGATGCAGGATGCGGGATCAAGAAGGTAACCATTTCCCTTACCCTGTCCCAACCGGCTTGAGACGCTCTTCTTCACAAACCGCAGGTCTGCATAGGTGATGGCCTCAGCCATGGTCCTGAGCCCGTCTGTCACACTGTCCCCCTCCCTGATCACTCTCTTCTCCGTCCCTCCACACTCTTGAACTTTGTGCTCTCTGTGACTACACTGCTCAGCACTCTCCCCTGTGACTTCCAGTCACAAAAGAGGAAGGTGTGAGCATGTCTCTGCAGATGGGCTCAGTGAAGCAGAGGCAATCCTGGGTTGAAAGTAGAGGGGCAGGGGAGGAACACTGGGGTCCAGAGTACAGAGGCAGGGGCTTGGCCCTGCCCTGTGTCCGGCCTGTGCCCCACCCCCATGTATCCTAGACCCACTTTGGCCTCCACACTTCTAAGGCTCCACACACCCATCCTCCTGGTTCTCAGTTCTCACTGAGATCCCCTCCTGACTGCCTGTCCACCAGGGCTTATCAGTATATACTTGGAGCTCTATAATGCTCAACTGACCCCAGACATCTCCCTAGTCATTACTCCAGGTTGAGGCTCCGTCTTCACCATCAGACCCAGTCCTAGTATGGAAACTTAGCTCTTCATTATTCTGGGGTTCCCAGAAAGGATCCCTAATTTTGTGACCCAAGTGGGGTTTATGTCCCCTATCATATTGGGAGCTTTTAGGGTAGACCCAGCTTCCCTCCTGCTTAGTTCTCAGAACTTCCACAAAAGGACATCATCATACAGAAGTCCTTTCTGAGAATGTAGCAGCTCTTTGGGGGTATTCAGAGACATGGGGCCAAACTGTTTTTCCTCCACAAATACTCTGACTCCCATTCTACAACCTTTCCCTGCCCACTCCACCCTTCTGTCCAACTGGTCATACCTATGGTCAGCCCTTTTCTCCTCCCTTTCTGCCCTACCAGCCTGTGGCATCTTCTGTCCCCACATCTGAGCTTAATCCAGTGAGCAGATCCTGCACGGCAGAGCTCTGGAACAAGCTTGGGCTGGAGCTGAGAATGAGGGATAGACATGGCTGGGTACTTCTGGGAAGCTTGTGGGTGCACTGACCCTCATGTACCCTGTGGGAGGCCAGGGAGTCAATGAGCACAGAGTTGCACAGGATTCAAAAAGGGCTGTGGCTTCCTAGACAGAGATGGGATAAAGAAATTTCCTGTTAGCTGGGTGCTGGTGGCTCATGTCTGTAATCCAGCTACTCAGGAGGCAGAGATCAGGAGGATCAAAGTTTGAAGCCAGCCTGGGCAAATTGTTCTCAAGACCCTATCTTGAAAAAACCCATCACAAAAAAGGGCTGGTGGAGTGGCTCAAAGTGTAGGCCCTGAGTTCAAACCGAAGTATCAAAAAAAAAAAAAAAAAAGAAAGAAAGAAAGACAAAAAAAAGAAAATTAATTTCCTGTTACTTTCCTAATAAAATTTTTCCTTTAAAAAGTCCTGGTGGCTGGATACTGGTGGCTCACACCTATAATCCTAGCTACTCAGGAGGCAAAGATCAGGATTGTGGTTTGAAGCCAACCTGGAAAAATAGTTTGAGAGACCCTATCTCGAAAAAACTCAATACAAAACCAGGCTGGCAGAGTGGCTCAAGCAGTAGAACACCTGCCTATCAAGCAGAGTCCCAGTTCAAATCCCAGTACCACCAAAAAAAAAAGAAAGGTCTTGGTGGCTGGAAAGCTCAATGGTAGGGTGGAAGTGAGATGCCCTGGGTTCAGTCCCTTGCACACACACACACACACACACACACTCCCCAACATTGTCCCTTTGCACTCAGCCCCAAGGAAAGGGACATTTGTGGGAGAAATCCCAGGGGCTGAGAGGTACTCATAGGTGTTAAGGTCCTGGCTGATGGAGGAGAGAGGGGAAATCAGGAGAGGGGAGAAAGGGAGCTCCCTAATGTTCTTTTACCAGTATCTGAGGGTGGAAAGGAGTTGGATCCAGACAAGATATGGTGGTGAAACAAACTCACCCCCTTTCAGACCACATCCGCCCCATAGGCCCTATCAAAAAGCCCTCCCACAGCTGTGAGGAGGAAAAAGGAAGAATGCTCCTCACCACACACTAACAGTTCTGACAGGTGGTGTGTGGAAGGGCACTGCAACAAGGCTTAGAGCTCTGCACAGTAACATCTCCATTCTGCTCTAGAGAAAGTGGCCCCCAAGGCAGAGGTGACACTTGTCATCTGAGGAGTGTGTCTGAGGGGAGGCAGGTGTATGCTTATGTGTGCATCCGTGTGCATATGTGTGCACATGCATCTCCAGGGCTTTGTGGTCTGCTGGGGGTGTCTGTGGGAGGTGAGCATCTACATCAGAGCCCACCTAGATAATGAGACTTGAAGGATCCTGCGGGCTGAGGGTGCCTATGTCATGGCAGGAATGACAGTCACCATAAGTCATGGCAACAAATTCTGCAATTATTTCCTTTTTGAGGCTCACTGTTTCCTAAGGAGTCCCTGCAGCTGTTAACGGTCCCTGCTTGAGTAAAGTTTCCAACAGCCGGTCCCCTCCCTTGGGCACCCTGGCAGGGCCTTCCCCAGATGCAGCGGTGGTGGTGTGTGCTGGTGACTCCCTGGGGGCCTCCAGGGCCTGTGAGAGTGAGTGGGAGCAGACAGAGCAGCTGGTAGCAGGAGTGGGTGGGGACAGTCAGGGGGCTGCATCTGTGGTGTAGAGGGGTTGGGTGGGCAGAATAGGAGTAAATTGCAGAGAGACGTTTTCAGGAATTTTGTAAACTGCAGATAATGTTCCAGTTTTCAGAACCAATACACAGGTAAACATGACCTGTATGGATGCCAGGTAAGATGTAAAAACCAAGCTTCTAACAGACACCCCAAAACAGAATCAGCTGGCATGCAGCACAGTGGGACCCTAGGAGAGGTTAAGGGGGGACCCAGATGGAGCTGGGCTGAACTAAACTGCACACCTGCAGCATCTTCGTGTCCTTGTGGTGATGGTGACAAATCTCGTCATGATGTTCTGCATTCCATCCCATGTCAGACCATCCTGTAGTCCTCTTGTGTGACTCAAGTAAGACCTTCCCAGGTGTGTCAGTGTGTCATGCAGGTCTTTGCAACACTGACACTCACATGACTTCTAAAGATGACTGTGTCTCTTGAGCCGCAGTGTCAGAAACTTGGTGGGGGGTCATTTAAGAGTTGAGGGGCTAGAGCTGAACATGTCAGCTTTTCCAGGCCCATAATATCATCATCTGAGATCCAAGAGGATAAAGGCCAATACTTACTTCTTGCCATCTCCTGGCCTCTCCATTGCTTATTATAGGGAATGGGTTGTTGAGATTGACAAGGGAAGGGGGCCGAACTGTGAAGGCATTCTAGAGAATTCGCTCATCTGTTTCAACTTTGGTGAAGTCCAACTGACATCAGGAAATCAGAAAAGTCTCCTAACTTAAAGTCAAGTTTTATCTGCCGTTGTTACTATAACCCACTGACCCTCTGGGAAGCCCTCATCAACTGACAGGGTGAGGTAGATAGAATAATGGCCTCCCCAGGCCATACCCTAAATTCTGGAGCCCATGAATGCTTCCTTAGTTGACAAAATGCAGATGTACCTAAGTGAAGGCCCTTTCGATGGGAAATCACCGTTTCATCCTGGTAGACCCAGTTTAATCCCATGGGTGTAAAAAAGGGAGGTCCTTTACCAGCCATGGGAAGAAAGATGGAAAGGTTAGAGAGACGCTCTGTGAGGACTCAACCCTCAGTTGCTGGATTTGGAGGTGGGGAAAGGGGACTGTGAGTCAAGATAATCTAGCTTCTAGATAATCAAGCTTCTAGAAGCTGGAAAGGCAAGGCAACAGATCTTCCTCCACAGCCTCCAGAAAGGAGCCCAGCCCTGCTGACACCAGGATTTTAGTCCAAGACCTGTGTCAGACTTCTGACTTCTAGAACTTTGTACAGTAAGACATTTGTACTATTTAAGCCACAAAGTTTGTGGTAATTTGTTAGAGCAGCAGGAGATGAGTGCCCTGAATTGTGCAGGAGGCAAGACATAAAAGAAAGAATATGGTTCTATGGATAAAAAGCTCTGCCAGAGTATGTGACTTTGGGCAAGTCACAATTTCCCATCTGTAAAATACAAGACAGGCTACACCTCAGTCAAGGGTGTGATTGCTAAAGAGAGGAGGTATGAACTTTAACAAAGGGCTCTTTAAAAATCTGTCACAATAGCTTCAGAGTCAGGAGGGAGAACTATGAACCATCTGATAGCACCATCCAGGAGACTTGTGACTCTTCATCCCTGAAACCAGAGAATGCTGATAAGTCTCCCGTGACTTGCCCCAGGCCTGTCCTTGGTCCTGTCTTGAACAGTGACACAGAAGACATCTTCATTTATGCTGATGGCACAGAGCTGAAAAGAAAAGCAGATACTGCACATCGAAAGGCAAACCAGAGACTCAAACCTTGCAGCAGAGCAAAATGATGGCTCCAAACCACAAAATGAAGTGTCATAAGGATAAGGGGTAGTACTTATGGAAAAACAAAATCAAGGGCTCAAAAAAATCAAGCACATATGCTTAGGATGGAGGGGGTTTGGGCTTAGCAATGGTTTATGTACAAAAGTTCAAGAGGAGAGACAGTCATCAGGCATTTTAGACTTGACTGGATCTTAGGGAGCCCAAACTACGTATCTTACAAATTAGGAAGCTAGGCTTGGTGAGCTGTAAGTTCCAGGTGCCTAGGAGGGGTTGTGACAAAAGGCAGCTCCAAATATGCCAAACACTGGTCAGCCACCCTTTTAAGGGGAAAGCTATTGCTGATGAGGTATCCCTATACCACCCCCCTCAAAAAAATTGTGGGGTTTGACCTCGATTGTAATAAGCAACAGGGCAATGCCTCAGCACTAACCAGTTCACCCACAGACAAACCAGTGGCCTGGAAACCACTGATGATGTGAGCTAATCTACTGATCATTCTCACGAAGTTGAAAGCCACCCAGTTAGCAGTGGGAGCAAAAGGTGCCAGATGCCTAGAGTCTCTATCACACCTGGCAAGAGGGTCTCATGGGGAGACAGGGCGGCTGTTCCACAACCAGAGCCGAAAGAAGGGGATGCCCCAGTGCCACCTGATGCCCCGTGTTCTCTGAATATC